GTATTGGTGACTGATAAGTGATAGGCCTAACCATGCTTACACTGTTACACGCCCCAAAAAGTTACATTCAGCATGTTCAGCTCAGAAATTTCTTTAGCCCATGCTCACGTATTGCATCATCAGGTCATAGCCCTTCTTAGAAAACTCTTTTTCAGACAAGTCTCAACTCTCATCGTGCATTAAGTGTTGTCCGTACTTGGAACTCTTTCCACATGTTCAATCTAGTATGGGCTTACATGTAAATAAAATTAAAGCACTCGATGGGAGAAACACAGTGGTGCAAATCTTATCACCATTGGCGTTCTGTTCAGGGTAACCCAGGTTGACTCCCTGACCATAGGCCTACTACGTTATGGAGGGAGTCCAAGGTATAAGTCAGTCTGCAGCCCCTGATCTGACAAAAACAGAACTGTATTTTTTATATCGGCTCGATGGCAGGTGGGTTAAAGCCAGGTACCAGTCAGGTCCTTAGTGTAGCAAGCGAGCAACAAACCTTCACTGGAAACTGCGTGCACGCAGTTCGGATTCCTTCTTTTAACTCAAATCTCGAATAACTCGAATTTTTTGTCCATTCCCCAGAGATTCGAGGTATGAGATTTTACTGTAATTCTCTATAATCCCCTTAAGGTGAATTCTTCAATATACCGCCTTGGCCCTCTGCCAGGACACTAAGGACTATTATCACTTTGGAAACGTAGTTAATGGTCCAAACCAGCGGACTCTCCTCTGAAGGGGGGACTTGGTCAGGAGGCGAGTTAGTAAGGGGGTGAGTTGGCTAGGGGACGGGATGGTAAGGGGGCGAGTCGGCCAGGGGGCAAGTTGACCTACAATCGCAACACCATCCCCACTTTCCCTTCTCCCTCCTCAGCTAAGGTTTTGGGTCACAGCTCGATTCTGCAAAAAATTGAGCAGCAAATGGGAATGCACCAGTTACAGCTACACCTATCCCCTGGAAAGTGACAATTTTCCCTCTTCTGATATTTTCATTATCTGTAGTAATAGAAAACAACTGCAAGACATTCCTTGCATAATTTTTAGGAGTTTTGTTCCTACATAGCGCATTTCAGAGTTTCAGAAAATCCCACAAAAGGCAGGTTCCTCAAAATATTGACCAATAGAATGTGTCGCGAACGTCATTCGATTCTGTCATTAGTGTCAAACAAATCAACTGCAAAAAAACAGCGAGTAAAATCAAAATCGATGTACAACAGCTTTAAAAAAAAGTGCAAACAACACCCTGAACAATCATCCTTTTACGACTGGACCAATCACATTTTCTTCAAGTACGTTTCTGAAAACTGCTAGCCAAAATACCAATCATGGCAATTTTGTGGCTTATTATCGTGGCCTGTTTGACCTTTGACATCACGGAATGACAATGCTCCGGGATTTTTCTCTTCATACCAAGGTTTCGCGAAAGAAAATTGGCCATACTGAATGACGTTCAAAAAAAAATGACGTCTGAGACATAAAATACGATTCATGACAAAAATCAAATGCTCAAGAGTTGTTAATTTTAATTAAATTTTGAGCAGAGATAACTCTAAAATAAGCGGCAAAATGAATGTCGCGCATGGAATTTTCAAGCACTGCATGTGGCAGCGTTTCGGCATTCTCGAATGTCATGCATTTTTTTCACAATTCTCGAGCCTCATCAAAATTCTGTCAAATATGACGTTGGCAAAATACATATTGTTCTCATTATACATTTTTGATGCAGCCAAACTTAAATGATTTTTTTCAGTGGTTGAAAGGTATTACACCTAGGCAGATATGCTGATATAGTGAGAGTGATTGTAAACATTAAGAGAATGAAGAGAACCAAACTTTTCTCATTTTCTGTCAATTTTGTGCTCTTCTTTTCTTGGCTTATTTTTTTAAAAGTTATTTCTTAGGTGCTTTAAAATACATCAGTTGAAAAATATACTGAATTCTCCTCGTTGTTGAGAGAGATTTTAAATCAAGTCATCTGGTGTAAATACTCTGATATAAAACTTTTAATGAATTAAACTCCATTTGATTTGCGCTGGTAGCCAATGAAATGTCCACCAAATGTACCTGTACACATTATGCCTAATTATCCCCAGATAATCATTTTTATAAATCTGGAGGTGCTAATTGTTATTTACATGATCAAAGTCACTCTTTCAGGAGTTTTGAAAAATGACATGCAGAGTTGCATTTTGGTCCATGTTATGAAGAACATGCCATATTTCTGTTAACATGTGCATACATGTACTTTGGTTGTGCAAATTATTGCAAAGTGTGGAAGTAAATTTGAACCTGCGTGAAAACTGCTTTTAAAAGCAATAAATAGATGGAGCAAAAAAATCTGCTATTTTCATGGGTAGACCGGGTGCTCTATGTGGCCTTTGACCTTGCCTGACTCGTAGGACAGGTTTTTTAAATCAGTTTTCGTTTCCCAGTTTGTCATAATGTAAGTGAAACAGATTGCACTTACCAGCAGACCTTAATGTCAAGACCTACATGTACATGTACTGTACATGTATATCAGTATGAATGCATCTGGTCTCAGGAACTGATTTCACAGACTGGTGGGGTAAACAGCCATGTGCATTTGAATCTGTGATATCTTTTCTTCCAAGTAATCCCCAGTGGTTGACTGAGTGTTCAGTTTGCCCCACTGTTACTCATCTTAACCACTCCTTTCATTTTCTCAGTAAGAGGAGGATCAGTCTAACATCTTTTTCTTGATAAATTTAATTAGGTCTTAACCACAAATTTCTGTAACTTGTTGGTTATCTTTAAAGGGCCCATGTAGACTTTTTTCACACACTCCTTGTAAATGCATATTTGTGTCCCATATTTATGTAACCTTATTTTAATTTTCATTTTGTCATTTTTAAGAGCATTTTGGTGGCTTTTGAAAAACAGTTTCTACTTAAATGATACAAATTTGGGTGTTACAGTTGCTACATAATTTTAGCAGAAAGCCTTAATGTTTGAGCCTTATTTCTTCAACTTTTGCAAAGTCTCCACATTGAGATATTATGGGCATTTTGGTATTTTACTGTCATAATTTATTTTGGATGCAAATTAAACTCATGAACACAGAAAATACACACACAAATAAGAGACCAAGTTCTGTGAAGGAACTTACAAAAAACCTCTTGCAACATCGAATTGTTGCGTGCGTGTATTGCCGGCGTAGAGTAATCGAACGGAACGTACAGTACATGTATAGACTGGTTCTAGTTGCTACACTTCTTTGCATGGGTGCTGCGCAGCGGGAACCAGAGCAGCTTCGTTTAATGCATTGAGCTGTGGGCACGTGTTTTCACCACTGTGACAGTGAAACGTGAATGAAGTTGTGAAAATAATGGAAAACTTGTGAAAATTGCAGATGTAAGTACGAAAACATACAGAAACAAGCATTTTAATGTGAGAAAAAGTTATTGAAAGATATTTTGTGAAGACAGAAAAGACATCAGCTCTTCTGGACGTGCCCAAACGGGCACGCCTAGTTAGAATTGTAATTGCCTGAATGAGCTATCGGACAGGTGATTCGCTGCAGCCTGCAGCAACATGCTTCCATTTATTAGGAAAAAACATTGAAGCTTTATGTGAAGTACTATTTGTTCTTTCAATGAGATTGGCTTCCAAAAAAATGGAGGTTAGACAGTTTTCATAACATTTAAGAGAAGGATAAAGTTACTGAAACTACAGGGAAATTCCAGTGGTATGCCATTCAAAGGGTAAGTCTCATAGAGCATGACCGTCATATATCCCCCCTTGGGCTGGTAGTCGGCTGTCCCTGCTCTTTAGTAGAGCCTTTCCCAAATTATAGTTGGGTCTTCAAGGTTGTTTCTGCTCAAATTGTGTTGTGGGTAATTCTGTTTAAATATGGGGTCCAATTTTATGTCAAATTTAATGCAAATTACCTGCCGAACAGATTAAAAATAGTTGAAGTCAATTTCATTGATTATTCCTTGTCATATAAAACAGGACAAATGTAAGGGGGATACAGAAAGGTTACAGAAAGAAACAACACATTTGGACCCCAAATTTACAGAAAGATCCTTGCCCTGTCTGAACCAAGTGACCGCTTGTATTTTATTCTGGTCTTTGCTGTGGTGCTGGTCGGCTTGGAACTGTAGAAATTTCCTCTGTTGCTGGCACCTTGGGTTGAGCTGGCCTTGTTCATCTCCAGTAGTCACTGAACATACCAATTTTATATTCACCAGTTTGGAAAAACAACAGTTGGCTATGAAGTTGGTATTGTTGAACAGCATACGATAGTAGTAGTGTGGTGTGAGCTTTCTCTAGGGGTTTGAGGGGCAGGAGTATGACCTCTTGTGGAATGTACATATGAAAAGATTTTTGGAACTTTTAATGACCTTGTGTTGCCCATGGAATGGATTAGAGCCTCTGTCTGGATGGGTTTGTGCACAGGAACCCTCAAAATTTGGCCTCATTTTACATTTTTGAAGAGGGTAGTGTTCTGTATTTGTGGCCATCATCCAAAGGACTACATTTTATGTACATGTACTGTATTTAGAGATGTTTTAGGATTATCAAAATACTGATGGTCATTGGTTTAGAATTTAAAGCATAATACACATTTTTAGTTTGGTTTCATGTGAAAAAAATGCAAGGAAATACAGATTTTTTTCCATAAGCTACAGGTATTTCTCTTTTGCTGTAGAAGGGCTATTTTGAAACTGTACACTGGTGCCACTGTGAACCAGAAAAAGCAGTGCAAACAAATGGAGGATGCACATGTGTTCACTTCGTATTCACTTTGGTACTCTACCCTATACTCTGCTAAAAATATGTACAAGTTTAATGTGCCAACATGTCTGATGCACCATACAGGAATGGATACATGCACATTGAAATCTGTTCATCTATGTGAAATGCTTGGAAGGGTGCTTTATCAGGTACTTTGCAAAATAGATTCTGTGAAAGGAATTGGCAATTGAAATCACAGGAGGGTTGATATTGGATGCTTGACAGGTTTATCATGCAAACGCAGGTTATGACTAAGAAGCTTTCCTGTGTTACTCTTGGTGGGGTATTCCCTGAATGTGGCAAGTTAATTGACGGACATGAAATGACAGTTTCCTTCCATTTCCTGGTGCTGGGACTTCAAAATGTCAGGAATCATCAGTGTTCTCGGTGTCGTTGGAAAGTACGCATTTCTGGCGAGACGCAAGCATGCTGAACACTTCGTGCTGAATGGTCACAGTGTCCAGGAGTGCTTAGTGTACATGTATGTCTGAGGAAACTCCTCTGTGGTGGAATATCTTTCATATTCCACAGTTTGGGCTAAAATCCCCTGTATAGTTTTTAAAAATGATGTTGTGAAGATTTCTCTGTACTTATGTCTTTACCATCGACAAGTTCTGACCAGTTGAAAAGCATGGATTGTGAAAACGTATTGTCAAAAAATTTCATCTGGCTTTTCCCCCGCAGGTACAAAAGCAGGGAACACCATCAACCTAGACCAACATGGCAGATCAGCAACCAAGTGGTCGTGCTCGTGGGAGGTCCCGTGGGCGAGGACGTGCCTCTTCTGGCCAGCAGCCAGCCCCGACCAGGCGCCCTGGTGAGACAGCAGCAGCAGCCCCTCCCCGCATGCCCGCGGCTGAGCCAGACCCCCTGCCCACCCCAGGAAGAGGACGCTCAAGGGGTGGCTCCTCCCAGGTACCCGGATCAGGAGGTTGGTATTCCTTTAATAGCTACTCTTTTATGCTGGTTTGTTAAAATAAATATTTCTTCATCGGCAATGGAGTGTGACTGATTTTAGGCAGTCATGTCCATTTTTAGCCAAAGCATGTGAATGAAAAATTGTGAAGAATGCTGTCACTTACTGGAAACTTGCGAGGAACAAAATTCCAGTATGGAAAACTCTGCCCAGGTTTGTTTCTGGAAATAGATTACACTGTCTTTCGTACTGAATACCATAATTTTCGGAATATAAGCCACCCAGTGTATAAACCACAGCACACAAAAATTGGCAAATTGAGATCGACAGTTGGTGTGTAAGCCGCACCAGCCTACAAGCCGCACCAGCCAATAAGCCGCACCGCAGTGCTGACGATCTAACCACGAAGGTCATTGTGCTGCGTGCTGAAGAGCCAATGCAGCATGTACATGTACGTAAATGGTTCCACTACACGTGCAATCCTAATTGAAATGCAAAATGCAAACGAGTCTCACCACAAAAATTGAACTTTAAGCCCTCAGATTTAATACTTTTGCGGGTTGAATGGTTTGTCCTGCATGGGTCCTGCGTCAGCTCTTGCCCTTTTTTCCAGCGGCCAGCCAAAGTTATGCGGTGGAAGACATACAATTAAATCTTGAGAACTCAAAGTCAGTTAAGTCAAAAGATTGTTTTATCTTGTAGGCCGACTATTTCTTGCCAAAAGGAATAGGCTTTTATGTAAGAAAAATTATACTTCTGTAACTGTCAACAACACTACATCCGGTTATCTGGAAGTTTTTGTGACGCCAATCAAAACAACACCACCAAATTGCTTCAAAACTGAAAAATCTGCCACAAGACCTTGGTTCGAGTCATAACATTGGAACTGCTTGTGTTGCATGCATGCTGCATGCGTCACACACACTGCATGCAGTCAAACCCTGTTTTCAAGCTAGCCTGACTGCTACCGCAGACCCATTCATGGACCGTTCAGTTGCTGAATCTTTCTGATAACCATGTGACCACAGACGTCAGAGACGATCAGCGAAAAGACAAAGACCTGCCACACGAAGGTACACCATTGAAGCAGTTGATTTTTATCTAACGGTAGAAAGAAATCTTAAGATTTCAGAAGTAATAAAAGTCTTAGTAAAATGATTGTTCATCTGCAAAAAAATACACCTTGAGAATGAATGAAAAGCGCAAAAATAATCACTAAAAACCTTTGCCACAGCATACCGGTAACAAGTAAAGTTTAAGATTAAGTACACATTTCGCATACATAAATTTGTTTTTGTGACTCCACGACTCGGGGAATTCCGTTAATAACTCTAAATCCGGACAACATAAATTTTTATTTATTCTCTGAGATTAGAGTTCTCCAGTGTAAATGGCAACCAACGAAAACATGACTGAGCCATCGGCACACGGTACGCTTGACCTGGCTGTGACTTTGGTGACTAATTTTATCCTTCAAAGTTTGTTGTATAAGCTACAAGACGTATAAGCCGCAGAGACATTTTGCAGCGTGAGAGTCAACGTATAAGCCGTGGCTTTTATTCTGAAAATTACGGTATATTTTGTTTTTTTCTCCAACAGTGTAGCTTTCTCTGATATGGAATTTTTTCTTTCAGCCCCAGTTCCAGCAGAGCCAAAAGTGCCCCCTACAGTCCAGATGGCTGCTCTAAGCATGAGCGCAGCTGGGGAAGGAGGGATGGGTGGTATCAGTGGTCGTGGTAAGCAGGCCCAGCTGAGTTACCAAGAGATCAAGACCAGACCTGACCACATCAAAGATAAGAGGGGTAAGTTGAACAGCAAGGCAACTAGCATTGGGGCCATATTTATGGGGTTTAACCACTTGCTGCCGGGGAACCCCGTTCCGAGCACCATGGGTTCATACACAAAGCCAGGGTGCTCGAAATGGGACAAAAGAGCTGGTCTGTGTAACAAAAGACAGTACGCGGAACAAAGACCTGCTTCTGGGAATTTTTTTGGCTTGCATTTTTCGAAGGTATAGGTAATTCTTCACTGTTTGTAAACAGTATACTACTGTTTGGGGCATAGCGCGCCCGTGGATTGGCACCGCAGACAAAAGTGCTCCAGGGCCCCATTAATGAGCGACACGGCACGACTGCGTGCTAATCCAGCTACGTTTGAAAAGACGGCACTCGCATTCACTGGGGACAAAGGAAACACCTCCCAATTCTGGGCTCTCTTTACAGGGCGGCAGGCCTGCCTGAAATGTGGTTCGTGTTGTGGATTGCAGCATGAACTGTGGAAGGTCTTTGAAACCAAGGGGATAAATTACCTGCGGCACTTCGACGTTTATTTGACTTTTTTATATACATGAAGTTCTACCAAACCTCTTTGTTAATTAACTTTGTTTCCAATTTGGTTGAATATTGGTACTATTGCTTTCATGGTACAGTCTTTGTGAACAATTTCATTGTCATGAAATATTTTCCAAACTTCAAACACGTCAAGCGTCCAGAAATAGGATGAGCGTATAGCCTGGTGTCCCCTAACTTCTCGCAAAATCACAGAAAATCCCACGAAAACATTTAAGATATTCTTTAAAATTTAAAATTAAAAGTTTTAGTACATTATTATTACCTCCACCCGCATACCCAACTAAAAAAATTGTTAACGATGATTTTTTAAGGGCGCATTTTGAAAGAGTTCATGTGTACTACTTACGATTATTAGCCAATATTCACTATTGGGAAGGTATTTTTTCATACAACCTCAGACATTTTGGGTGCCGGATTGGAGTATGCTTTTTCAGGTTTCATGCTGGTCGGGGAACACCAGAGCTGGCTAATACTGACAGGTGCCGACCGGCGTAGCAACTACCCTAAACTGAAAGTCCAGTGTGAGCTTCCTGATTAGCAGTTTCTCCGTCGAACAGTGATTGAATTGCTTCCTGCACAGGAAGTAATTGTTATAAATATCTGCCCTATTTGATTTGTGAGGGCGAGAAAGCTAGTAGAAAAAGTTTCCTGGGTTCCAGTTGCCTGGGTTCCAGTTGCCTGTCTCCATTGTCGCTACATGGCAAACTATTCACAAAATGTTGGCTGTTGCCCGGAGCAATAGACCGTATTCGTAGGAAGCCACGTTTTTCTTGTTTCCTGAATCTACACATCCATTATTAATTAATCTACTGTTTAAAATTTGCCAGCTGGAACTCTGGCTCTGTAGAATGTGGGCGAAAGGATTGGTTCTGGATACAACTGTAAGTTTATAGTTTCCAGGAAGTAGAAAAGTCATGTTGAAATAGAGGTAGCAACTGTTCTTTGCCCCACTTGATCTGAGTGGATTTTTGAAACATTTTCAGTACTCGGCTTTAGAAAACTACCCAATGTTCCAGAGGAATTGATGAGATTTACTGAAAGCCCTTGTATCCTCTCTTTCTCAGGCACAGCTGGAGCAAAGGTAGATATCCTGACCAACTGCTTCCAACTCAAGAGGGAGGAACACTGGCTTTTGTACCAGTATCACGTGGATTTCAGCCCGATGGTAGAAAGTATACGGGCCCGGCAGGGCCTCTTGCGCTTTCACACCGAGTCTCTGGGTACCCCCATGGCATTTGATGGGATGATACTGTTTCTGCTTAGAAGGCTAGACCAGCCGGTGGGTATGAGTAATAAAAACTAAGAGGATAGGACCAAGTCGGGGGGGGGGGGATATAACCCTACAGATTTACTGGTCTGGATCCCAGCTCAAAAGATTTCAAGCCATCAAAATAGAAGAAACTTTTTTGCAAAGCTTTCTGAAATTGCCAAACCAGGTTTGTTAATGTTTTTATCATTATTAATATTTATGAATGTCTTCAGTGTATACATGTTTATGACTTACTGCCATTTAAGCACAACTTTTAACAATGCAATCTTGGTGAACTCCACAGACGCATATGCACCCCCTCTTGAAATACATGTAGATGTCAGGGCATTGCACTCTATATGCTTATTTTTGTCGGCAGTTGTTACCCGATGCAGCAAGGGACCGTTAGGTTAGGGAACCAGACACATTACTTCTGTTCAGTTTTTGGATGCCGTTGGAAATTGTGTCTGGTGTGATGCCTATGGCTGTTTTATTTTGACTTGTTTTGGTGTGACTGATGTTCAGCAGTTTGGAAATCAGATATTGGATCCTATGCCCTCCATTCGCCACCTGCCAATTAATCAAGTCTGGCATAGCCATTGAATATACAAGTACATAAAATACGTCAGGTGTCTTGTAACTGCAAATGCATGAAATGAGAAACACACCATTAGGCCTGATAGGTCTAGTCAAGTATCTTCTGTTGCACTGTACATGTACATGTATGTTCAGCATGGCCTGGGGTATTCTGTACATGGATGTGAATTGTCCTAAATTAACCTCTTTTAGGATCCCCAAATTTTAAATACATGTAATTTTGAAAATCACACGAAGTCCAAGAGTGTGACTTCTTGACCTGTTTAATTTGACATGTACCAGTGAAATTGTTGTCAAACTATATTGGTTTGTTTGGAACGCACTTAGTTACTTACGGAAATTAAAGAGTATGTTCTGAACTTACAAATCTCATTCAAGATGTGCCAGGGACACAAAAATAGACCCAAATTTACAGAAGAATTTGATTGTACTTGAAATTCCTGGGGAAATACTTGGCCCTCAGTAAGCTCCTGCTTGAGCCACAGCTTTGGCAGTGAGGAATTCTTTGGACCACCTTATGTACCCATTTCATTGTGCAACTGCCAGATTAATAAAACAGTCGGCCACTTTTGTAAAGGTTATAGGAGAACCATGCACCTTAACATTGACGCACAGCTGAAAACAGCACAGAAACTGTTATTATATCAGTCAATTCACAAGCGTGCCAAGAGAGCTTGTAAATGGAGGCACCTTCCTACAAAACACTGTGATGCTTAGTTTGAAATTGTGTCCAACCCATAGGTCACCACTCTTCAAACAAAACGCCGCAACAGTGATGAGATAGTGACAATTACGATCACCCTGAAAGCTGAGCTGGCCCCCAATAATCCCACCTGCCTCCAAGTCTACAATATTATCTTCCGCAAGTGAGTAGCCGGCTTCACCCTTCTGCCAACTCTCTGTTTGGCAGGGGCACTTACTTTTCGGAGTTTTTATTGCAAATAACTTTCTGCAGTCTGTAAACCAATAAGGTTCTTGCTTCATGGCCTGTATTGGCCCTCTCCCCAATTCTGCATACTGTACCTCTCGGACCCCTTTCATTATTAACTGCAACCGTCAGTCCTCCAAAATCTCCAGATGGTTTTGGAGGATAAAGGCTATATGACAGAAAAATGTGGTCCAAAAATTAAGCAATGCATTGTGCGTGCTCTGCCATGTATAAATTTGATTATATGTGAAATCATACCCTACTTCTCCAAACACACATATTGCAGTGCCGTTGACTGCATTTCGTGTTGTACGCTAGGTGGAAGAGGATGACCACTGCGTGAACTTAATCACCTATCCCCCCCCAGTAACTGAGCTAAATCTTTATGAGTATGCATTTGTTACATTGCCATTTTCCAACAGGGTCTTGGGATTGATGGGCATGCAGCAGATAGGCCGCCACTATTTCAACCCCAATCTCCCGGTAGTCATTCCACAGCATAGGTTAGTCATACCCTTTTAATAAGCCCCAGGGGTTTGCTTCACGCCAGAAATTTCATTTGCCTCAACCCTGGATTATGGAACTTACAGAAAATCTCGTGCAGGATTGAGTATAGAGTTTATGAATATACATTGGGTAAGGGCAAGACCTGTAAGTAAAATTAACTTTGTGTAGATGATTTCATTTTGTATGGTTGGAAAGCTTCCAGAGAAAATGTCTGACGGGAAAGTTTTAGTGGTATGAAATAAGCAGGTTATGACGTCAAGATATAATTTACCGTGACTTAATCAGTTGTGATTTTGGAACTCAGAGAACATGATTTGAAGCTTCATCACATCTTATTTCAATGTACTTCACAAACACAGTTCATAATGTATCTTCCGGACTTTTTAATCCTTACTCTTTCACACATTCAATTATTTCAGGAGATTTGTAAATTTTGCATACACAAACCCAGTAACCTGCCACAGAGCAAGGGTGAGGCTTACCTGTACCGGACACGTATTCTTTATACACGTGGCCGAGGTCTCCAAAATTGGACAAAGGGAACTGGGCCTTGTAACAAAAGACAGTTCTTGTAACAAAAGACCAGGCTGCTGGGAATTACCAACATTTTTTTCACTCTCAATAGTGGAGAGAATCCAGCCTTGTTTTGAAACAGTATACCATGGTTTGGGGCATTTAATTACGAGCGGATTACCACCGGAGACAAAAGCACTCCACCACCGCAGCGATGAGCCACACTGTACCACTGCACGCTAATCTGGCCCCTATTGAAAAGAGGTCAGCAGCGCACTGTGCCAGGTTCGTGAAAAAACGGAAATAATGTAACACCGCACAATCTGGGCTCTTTTTACAAGGCAGCAGGCCTGGATGAAATACTCCAGCGTCAGTAGATGTCTGTCAGATTAGAGTAGAAACCAGACAGTCCTTCGTGTGGGTGTAAATGTCCAGTAAATGAAGATATAAATTTTTAAAGAATTTTGAAAACAGAAAAAAATGAAAATTATCCCATCCCAGCATCATCAACATTCATAAATGCCCCCAGCACGAAGTGGTTATGTTAAAATGCTTCTCTGTTGAGAGCCATTTCTGCATTAGTTCCTCACCGTTCTTCATTTCATCACTTTTCCATACTTCCCCCCCTCCTCTCATCTTTTCCCTTCATCCTCATAGTTTGCAGCTCTGGCCAGGCTTCATCACTTCCATTCTCCAGTACGAGGAGGAGGTGATGCTGATGGCGGATGTCTCCCACAAGGTCCTGCGTACGGACACTGTGCTGGACATCCTTGCCAACATCTATGTGGCCAAGAAGGACCGCTTTAAGGAAGAGGCAATGCGCATGCTGGTCGGGGAGATTGTCCTCACCAGGTACTGTTTATTTTGGGTTTAGGCTCCCCACCCATAAAAGGATGCCTTGCACCCTGGGTAGGCTGGGATCTCCCTCGGACCTCAGTGGGGAGTCGAATCCCCCCCTCCCTCGTCCCAGCAAGTTACAAACATGTACTCAGCACAGAACAGACGACATCAGAGACCTTGTTTTAGTTGGAGCGAGTCACAGTAGGATGTGTCACAGTGTTGTCATTTTGTGAGTCCTTTCACAGAACCAGTCATAAGTGACTGGGTTAGCAGTGACAAAGAAATGCTTTTGTCACAGTTCACTTGAAAATCTTATGACGTGGCTTTAGACTGGTCGATTTGTGGTGGACTTACAGGAGCTTGGGATGGACTTGACTACGGCACTTGCATTACGTTCTCTGGTTTCTACAGAGAAGGAATTTTCAGAGCACAGTGCTCCATGGATGTCTGTGCTCTGAACAGTATTTCTCTTGCATAGTGACTAAGCGGTTTTCATTGTTTGTTGGTATGCGCTTAATGTGAGTGCAAGGTTTTTCAGCTTCTGAAAACTGTGTCAGTTTGAAAAGGTTTGCTAGTGCTCTGTATCTTCTATTGTAAAGAGATGACTGACCGTGTCATCCTAAGCAGGATTGTTGACCACAGTCGAGGTACTAGTAAATACTTGGGGGTACACTTTATCACCCGTCAGTCGTTTTGTTGCCCTCCTCCCACTTGGCTGCTACAGGTCAACCTATCCACTTGTGTGGCTCATTTCACATTTCTTTTTCCCTGCTTGTTTGTCACTTGGGAAATTGTGCAATTTCGAACTGCCTATAGATAGGTTTAGCCTTTCCCCCTTGGCCTTAAGTGCCAGTCGTAAATGTATAATTGTTTGATTGATTGATTTATACTTTCCCTCTGCCTTCTCCCCCAAAAAGCCAGACTATTTTCCAGTAAATCAAAGTGTGGTTTTCCTGTTGACTCATTTTGAAAAAAAAGTAAGCTTTATATGACAGAAGTTAGTGGTTTTTTTCAATTAGTCAGATAATTATCTTTTAGTCATGTATTTGTTAGTGTCTTGTAGTTGTCAGTAGTTGTTTTCAAAATTGATGGGCATCTCTTTCTGAATAGATCAGATGTTTCTTCAGGAGACGAGCCCTCTTTGTACACGTGATGTTATGAGTAATACACGTAGACACAAAGTGTTTCCTCTAGAATGGTGTAGTTCAGTCTTGAAATGACATATTTTGTTGGGATTTTGCTGGCATACACAACTGACCCTCTTGGTCCTATCCTATAAGCCAAAGCTTGTTTAATGAGAACGATTCCAAAGTCCTGGAAACTCAAGGAACATGTAGGTAACTGTTTCAAGTAATAGTGGCTTGGCCCGAAAAGCTCCCAACTTTTCACCGCAGATTTTGACGGGTGTTAAAAGGTTAAAGTTGAGCTCTCTTGTCAAATTGTGTTTTCATCTTTCTGTCGTTGAATTGTAGCTACAACAATAAGACCTACCGAGTGGATGATATCGACTGGGACAAGAATCCTATGCACACCTTTGCCAAATATGATGGCACGCAGATCAGCTACGCCCAGTATTACAAGGATGCCTATGGGCGGGAAATCGCCGATAAGGAACAACCACTGCTAGTCAGCATTCCCAAGAAAAAGGTACACCAGTCGTCCAATGTGTGACAATATTCCAAACCCACCATTGAGTGACGAGGAAGCATACACAGGGTGCCCTCATTTCCAGGTCAAGTATAAATGCCTGCATATGTTTTTTTGGTCATGACATGTACATTTCTGAGTGTTCCATAATAAATGCAAGACCTACAAAATTATTGTTTCTGGTTGTGGTAGAGGGTTGGCTATTCCACTGCAGCAGCTACGAGGTGTCACTTTGCAGATCACAGGAGGAGGGGATAACTCATGCCTTGTCATGGAACAGACTTTCCACGGGAAATAAAGCACATCCGTGGGTGCAATTGCATTTCCTGTGCCATTTTCTTAGCAAGAATAATTAGCTGCAAAAACTGAACAATGAAATAGAAAAAAATCATAAAATTCCAATTTGCCAGGGGTTTGTTTCTGAGGCTTACAGCATTGCCAACGCATTGTTACTGCTGTTGAAAACTCATTCATTTTCCCCAAGTGTACTTTCAGTGACAAGTTTGAGTGCACCCATCATTGCATTGCAAACATGTTTATACTATTTGTAAAATCAGCCGGTATCATTGGACTGCAGTGAAGTATGAAAGTTTCTTAATGCTTACAACAAAAAGTTGCTGGGATATACCAACTATTCTAGCAAAAGCCAGCAGAATGGGTCCACTATTTTGACGAGTCTTTTTTTTTTCTTCACTTATCTGGGGTTGGTGCTGCTGGTGCCTACTAAATCAGTGTCTCAGTGCACTTGTGTTGTTCAGTAGCAGTGGGGACCACATGTTGTAAAATAGGTGTTAGTAGGACCCAAAGGTTATTGAGGAACGTAAGATTTGTTTCAAAATCTAAACTTGCAGCGCAGTGTTGGTATTTGTGTTTTGTGTGATTACTGGCTCCTTCCCCGGGGAGTAGTTTCCCCAAGAGATACCATTTTTCAAAGTGTAGTTTCAATTTTTTTTTCCCGCCCCCCTCAGGATCAGCGTCGTGGAATGACTGGCCCCATCCACCTGATCCCAGAGCTGTGCATGCTGACCGGTCTGAGCGACGACGTACGCAGCGATTTCCACGTCATGAAGGACCTTGCCCAGCACACCCGCATCTCGCCTGATGACCGCGTTAACTCACTCTCTGCATTCATCCGCAGCTTTCCCAAGTGAGTGAATGAATGTGGAGAGAGCTTTTGTGCCTTTCCTTATAGAGTGCCAAAGTGTCAGTTTTGAACAGAAATTGAAGTGCAAACGTATGAAGTTCATGCACTAGTTCTTGTGCTCATGCCTTTTACACACAAAACTGCACATGACAGTGTTGTAGTTGAGACTATTTGCAAGACCATTCTCAAGACCAGTCACAAGTAACAGAACAGTGACAAAGGAATGCCTTAGCTGCAGCACATTTGAGTAGCTTGCAACTTGAATTCAGACTAGAGGTCTTGTGTTAGTCTTGTGAAGGTCTTAAGAGGATTCGACTACAACACTGGCATGTCAGTTACAGACAGCTCTTTTGCTGTGACACAGACAGTCTAAAAATTCCTTCCTCCTCTTGATATGCTGAAGTATGCAGACACAACTGACTGATTTTGACTGATCAGACAATGTTGTCAAGAATGCATATTTACATAGGAGAGTCAATAAAAGTGCCTTGAACTGCAGTCACTGACAGGACACTTCTGCACCATTTGTGCCACTACTGAGCATTAGTGGGTTCGTCCATAAAGTACGTACAAACGAAATGCAGATTTTTCTGACCCATCATCCTATATGCAGAAGTTTCTTGTCCTCATCACCTATAAGTTTACCATTGGTAGGTTACCATTGGTAGGTTACCATTGGTAGGTTACCATTGGTAGGTTACCATTGGTAGGTTACCATTGGTAGGTTACCATTGGTAGGTTACCATTGGTAGGTTACCATCGGTAGGTTACCATTGGTAAGTTACCATTGGCAAGTTACCAAGTGAATTGTTTTAAATTGGCTTTCGTATTATTCGTTTCTTTGTTTTTACGACACATATCGTGATACATATCGTATCGCGACCCAAGTATCGTATGAAAGTGGTATCATTACACCCCTACACATATGCATTCCACCATTCTTGAAGGCACTGCAGGTCTTTGTGGAATGAGTAATGTTGCGGTTTACCATTAATGGGCATTGGCATGGGAGGATGAATGGTGGGGTGGATGGTGGAGAATGCTGTGTTTGAATTTCAAAGTTCAAAGTTGACTCTAGTATTTATTTGTATGAGAAAGTGTCCCGATACGACGAAGATTCATGACAGGCAAATTTTATGTTGACGTACAGTCCATACTGGCTTGAACCCACCTTCCCGTCTGTACACACGGTGTAAGCAATGGCACAATCCCCCTCCCCTCTTCAGGCGTAAATACTTTATGGATGGCCCCCCATAACTTTGCTGTTCACTTGTCCACATTCTGCTGAAAACTGGCTTATTTAAGTCACACCCTTTGTACTAGGAAGCCTGTGTAATCATGTGATTTGTCCATCCTAATATCTTGCTCACAACCTGTAGGATAAAAAATCCAATCACAGACATGCATTTTGCATGTGTGCCAAGCAAACGTTTACCCGTTGTAGTATTGGCCCAGCAGCAGTTGTACCTTTGCATGAACGTGATGCAGACTATCCCTATGGAGTTAGCTGATACTCAAAAACATGTAAGCCTAAACATTGAAGCAGTAATGGCTCAGCTCCACCCAAACTTTTTTCTTGAATGTCTCACCATCAATTCCCTTGTTTTGGACTTACCCATAGGAACCAAGAGGCCCAAGATTACTTGAACAAATGGAGAGTCAGTTTTCCCTCGAAACCGGTTAAGCTTGAGGGCCGCGTCATGAAAGCAGAGAACCTCTACATGGAAACTGGGGTAACTTCCCTCTTTGACCTCCTTCCCTCCCAAAAAACCCAGATGGAACAACAATAGTATTAGCCACGGACTTCACGTAAAAGATCTGGACTGCTAATCCCTTAATCAGTATGCAGAAGTCATTGAAGCCAGCGGGCAGCCATCTTATTGTGCCGAATGGCGACATTTTGCAAAAACTTGGTCACCATTATTAATCACATTCACTCTTCGCATCAGTAGTTACAATGGCAAGCTAACCAACCATCGCCTTTGTATTCAGCACAATATAATGGCCACCGGTGGCTTTATTTGGTACAAAGGCTCTGCAAGTCCAGATTTTTTTTATGGGACGTCCGTGGTATTAGCAAGAATGCCACCTTCATGGCACCTGTTGACCATCATGGTTAACAGTGTTTTATGTCGGCAAAGTCGATACAGTGTAGAGAGGGCTAGGAAATTCAAAGGAAATGGACTGACGACGTGTACCAAATTAAAGTTGTGATAAGGACTTTGCCGGTGTAAAAATACCTAGCCATATCTACGTTATACTGGCTCTTCTGCGAAAAGAGTATGGTATTCTCTCAGTGAGAACAATTTATTGAAAGTTACCATATTGTTGTCTGCAGAAACTCTCCTTCAACCCAGCCGAAGCTGAATGGAGCCGTGACTTGCGCAACCACAGACTGATGACCTGTGTCGGTTTGAACGACTGGATACTGATGTTCGCACCCCGAGATCAGCCAAAAGGCATGGATTTCTTCCAGGCCCTCACCAGAGTGGGGCCTAAAATGGGCATGGCCGTACAAGAACCAAAGACGTAAGTGGTTTTAGTAACGTGAGCCAAAGACAGTGCCATCAAATGTGCAGCTGGAGTACTTGTTTTAGATTTTTTTTTTAATGCTGCGTTGCAGGTGCTGACGTCGCCCTCCGCAGCTGCTTTCATTTTGTTTTGGAATTGACTTTTTTTTCTTACTTTCAGTGATTTCAAAACTGTAAGTTCAGGGATCATTTTCATAGTGCAGAAAGTTTACTTCAGTTGTCATTTCGTTACCCATCTGCTTTCTTTAGACACCAGCTGAGGGATGACAGAGCAGAGAGTTATGTTAACTGCATCAAGCAGAACCTGAACCGCACAACGCAGATGGTAGGTGTTTCCACTTGTCAACACATTCCCAGTAATGAGCGGAAACACAGCACTGGCCTTGAGGCAACTGCATGTTGTCAAATCAAACCAGTCCACTCTCTTTTAGCCAGTTCTCTCCAGACACTGCGTAAATGCAATGCTGCGGCCGCTATCTGTACTTGCAGGGATGGCTGATGGGTTAAACCTTTGGCAGGGTTGAGATTTGTCTGGATTTCCGGATTTTTGGAAAAATGAATACAGGATTTAAGGAGTTTTCTACTTGGCATGGCGCTGCTGGAACTAGAAGTAGTATTTCCAAATGTTGCACAAAAGTTAATGAAGGACTTGTGCAAGTTCAAGTTGTGATCGCATGTGCACTCTTGTGTTGCTACTTCCACTGGAATGCAGTAGAATACTATGAAATTGGAGAAGGGTATATGGTATTAAACCATAATGACTCGACACTGACTCTAACTCGACTTCATGGGCTGCATGTGCACGATGCATGGTGGGAACCCGTACAGCCTGGCTCTATCGTGGGAACGAGGTTGTTGCTCACTGTACATGTGCTATGCATTGCAGTACTGTACTGGCCATGTTTACGGAAAACTTGGATGCCATTTTGTTTGTTACGTGCGGTTCTTAAAAAGTTTTTTGTCGACTTGATCAAAATGGCTCATCATGCCCTTAAAGTCATCAATTGTGGTGATCTTTCACCTCGTAAAGGTTTAAAAAAAGCCATGGAAAGTCTTGCGGCCTGAAAGTCAGGTGGAAAAAGAGGCTTTGAAGGGGAAGAAGAATATTATCAGCTTTTGATCAGCACAATCGACAAACAAGGATACTGCAGTACATGTAGTACGATAAATTGATAAAGTGGAAGATTGAGGGACAATACGTAAGGAAGTGTTGTTGATCCAGATTTTCAGTTTCCTGATATCTCACCCCTGCGCTGTGCATTCCTTGAGTCTCTGGGATGGACGGATGAGTTTACACATCTTTCTGACCCCTAAACTCAAAGAGTCTGTGGAGTTAGATTGTGGGTTAAACTTGAATGTGAGCACTGTATAAGGCCACCTGTCATAGCAAGTATTGCCCCATAGTGTCACCTTAAAGAGTGTTGCTTAATGTCATTGTTGTGTTTGGCTGTGGCTTAATTTTGGGCTGATATAGATGAATCTTAGGATACTTCATTACTGTGATAGCCTGGCTGTCACATGCACGTTCCCAGGGAAACTACCTGGTGTATTTCTTGGTTGGCCTGGAAAGTCCTTTGACACCCTCGGCGTTTTCTTGTCACACTTCAGGTGGTCTGCATCCTGCCCACCAATCGCAAGGACCGCTACGATGCCATCAAGAAGCATTGCTGCCTGGAGGCCCCTGTCCCCAGCCAGTGCATCGTGGCCCGCACCCTCAGTAAGAAGCAGACCATCATGTCAGTGGCCACCAAGATTGCCATGCAGATCAACTGCAAGATGGGTGGTGAGCTCTGGAAGGTGGAGATCCCGGTAAGTCGTTCACATTTAGTTTTCTCCTGCGCTTGAAAAAGTATGGGTTATTCCACGCCAATTCAAGCAACCCTCTATTGTAACTTAAAATACCAAAATAACTTGACTTACCAAACATAGGCCGTGTCTGAAACGGGCTTCCAGAGCTACGGCTAGGTCTATTGTCTGCACGTCTCCATGCATTTCCAATGGAATGAAGACCTAGACCTAGCTCTAGACAAGAGATTCAGATGCAGCCATAGTAAGAGGTTTTAGCTCAATCCAGCTGTCTGCTTTCTTGTTACTGCTGCTAAGAGTTTGGGTGCCATGTTAGTTTTTGGCACCCATTAACTGCTTACCTGTTGTGGTGCCTCTTTGAAAGCCTACATTTTCTCTTTCGAATTCAGGTTGAAAGCTGGAAATTGGTGCCATGGTTAATTGTGGCCCCTATTTGAGATTGTGCAATAAGAAATTGATGACCATTAAGCTGGATGTCTTGGCAGTTAATCTGATTTTTATGACTTGACATGGAGTTACTCTTTATCCCCTCTTCTCAGTCCGTAGATCTTTCCCTGTCTGTATGTGCAAGCTGTAACTTCAGCAAATTGCCGAGTAGAGTTTGTTGCCTGTTACTAATGTTTAATTTTCTTGACTGTGAATGTTTAATGGTTTCCAAAGGTTTTTATACCTGCACTTGATCATTACATTTTATAGGTGTTTGTCTGTTCATGTGCTTTTTATCTGCCTGCATTTGGCTGTTGGGTTCAATGCTTCAATAAGGGAATAAATGTCTTTTTTAGTCAGAGAGTAAAAAGAAATCTATTTATGATAGATTGCAAACAATTTTGTTTCAGAATTTTACTTTCATTTTCCCAAACACCCCATCCTATATATGGTATATTCCTTGTGCAAGTTGTCCAAAAGAATCTCCTTATATGGACTGCTGCATTCTCACAGACCCAGAATCAGTTAAACTGTCTTGGATCGAGGTGCCAGCATGTGACTTTTAACATAGCGTGCTTTATCACTTCTCAGTGGGCATTATCAATAGGTAATGCACGGTCAAGTTGCAGGGAGACTTGCTGAGGTATTTGTGAACAACATTTAAATCCATATAAAATCATTCAAGCTCTCAGCATTCTGAAAAGATGTTACTTACAATTTTTAACTCTAAACCTTCTGCAGTCAACTGTCCTTTCATTACTGGCTTGTCACATAAACGTCTGTCTTCCAATTGTCATCATTTTTGAAACAACTTCAGGAAGCTCACAGTTTGAATTAACAGTGACTGTGTCCTTGTCTTTTCCTCGGCTCCAAGCCCAAGAAAATGATGGTCATAGGGATTGACTCGTACCACGACTCCTCCACAAAAGGGCGCTCAGTCGGCGGCTTTGTTGCGACAATGAATGATGACCTCACCCGGTAAGTATGGTTTCCTTGATTTCGGCACTTTTTTCATTTTGTAATGTGTGGACATTTTTTGCTGTTGTTGCCATTAGCTGATCTAAAACATGGAAACTTGACTTCTCTCTCAGGGTAATTAAAATCAGTTTCAAGTTTCAGATCAATTCCAATTTGTCGCGTGTGCAAAGAGAACACGGCACTAAGCTGAAGAGTTTTTCAGTTTTGTAAGTTGAGTGTTTTTATGTACCAAGTTCTACCGTCAAATATTGAAATAGTAAGGAGGGAATAAACTTCTTGAACAAGTCTATTGATCAGTAAATGGAAGGTTAGATTACGGAATTAAAAAAATGACCACATCTTAGTTGTATCAAAAAAATGACAAAAGTGCTCGGACAGTACTCGGCTGACTAGTTTTTAGTACTTTTTAGGGATAACAGAAATAGAAAACATTTAGGTCATGTGAATTATTCTAAAATAACAATAAATATGTAACCATTTCAAAAACATCGTCATTGTCTGAGTTCAAGAAATACACAGTAGGATTGTGTCTTTTAATTTGTACCTTGAACTTAAACACTGTTGGTGGGCCAAGTTACATCAAGTACAACATGGTCTATTAAAGCGTGATATACTACATATATGGTGCACTAGGTACATGTACACTGTACATATCAGCATTCTGTCGATGATGCCATCCAATCAGCCTGGGAGGGGATTTTTTGTGGGAGGGGAAACACAGGATCCTTTTATTCATTTTGGGGTCCCAATTAATGGGGTAAACATTAAATTTATGATGTTTTTGAAATGGTGAATCTATTTTGTAATCTTACCTGTGAGCATTTAACATCCAATATCCACATTCTCCAGCTCTACCCACATTCGAAATTCGTTTTTTAGGGACCTTGGAGAAGTCAAAATTTCCGGGGGCACCAAGGCCAATTAAAAGGGCATGCAGGCCATTGTCGAAAATTGATGAGGGCCCAAAGGCAAATTTGTCAAAACACAGTCTGTTCAACCTCTAAAATGCATTCTTTTGCTTTATTGTGGAAAAAAGTTGACACACGAGCAAATGTCCAATAAGCAGTCAAAACCTAACACCAGGAATTGTTATACTCTATGAACAGGGCATGAGTTGCACATAAAGAATCGTCAAATTAATTAATATTTTTTCCTAACACTTGAAAATGTGTGCACATCCCTTTTGTTGACGTTTAGACTTTCAAGTTACCAGCTGAAAAATTGTATCCAAGAACCCTACCGTCCCCTTAGGCTTCCCACCCTGACATGAAAACAAGAGCAATAAGGGTTAAGGGTTAACAAGTTCTGCTGCCCTTTTACTTTTTTTTACCCTTTATTTTTGTTTGTTGCCAGCAATGCGGGCGGGAGATATATTTGGATGCCTGCATTGCCGGCGTGGCCGCATCTTCACCCGGCACAGATTTCGGGAAATCACGGTGCCGTCAACATTGCCAATCTCAGAGATACACACGGTGACTCCACCACTTACCCATGCATAAAAAAAATCAAATTTCTTGCATTTTGTAGCCGAGTTGCAGAGCTCCCTTTGAAAGGAACATTTCAAACGTTCTTTCCGAGGCATTGTCGCGTGTCGTACAAACTGACAGCGGGCCGGTAGCAATAGGAAAACTTTGATTCCACATGGCTGGTCCGCGTGCCTTGAAGCACGTACTATACGTGACACAGATCAATGCGGAGTGCATTCATGGTACATGTACATGTATATGCAACAATGCATTATGGGACACTCCGATTAGCTACACGTATCCTTAAGGATACTGGTTTGTGCTTGCGCACATCAATGCAATAGCGGTATATGCAACAATGCATTATGGGACACCACGCTTAGCTATCCGCAAGGGGTGCGGGTGTGTGCTTGCTAGCACGCACGATGTTCATTGCTACATGAAGTTGAACAGTCAACGCTACCCCCTCTGGACAGTCCATGTAGTGCACACGTGGCTTGGCCTGTAAGGCAGGGGGTGCGCATAACTATAGTAGCAGCTCGCTGCTTAAGAAATTTTGTGAATACACATTTGTGTGAGTGAAGGCAATGGGGTATGGTCTCGCTGACCAGCGCAGCCCGCGAGCGCTAGCACGGGGCTGAATTTATTGTTAAATATTTTGACAACTCACTAGAAAGGGCCAAAGTGTGCATTGGCCACAGCAAAAGTGGCCGTGGACAATGCAATTTTCCGAGGGGCATCACAGCAAGTAAAAGGACATCGACGGCACTGGCTGTCGTGGTCGTCGTGAATTTCGAACCCTGTATAGGCTTTAGACACGAAACAAAGGAGCCTGAAACCAGACAAAAGAGCTGGGCCTTGTAAAAAAAAGGCTGTACTTAGAACAAAAGACCGAGCTGCTGGGAATTGCCAACATTTTTTTCAGTTGTCTATAGGGGAGGAAATCCGTCCTCATTTTGAGAGATTATACCACTGTTTGTGGCATTCAACACGAGCGGATTACCACCGGGGACAAAAGTGCTCCAGCGATGAGTGATATGTACCACTGCATGCTAATCTGTGCCCCATTGAAAAGACTCCAGTTTCGGGAACAAAAAACGGTTACGTAACACTGCCAATCTGGGCTCTTTTTACAAGGCGGCAGGCCTGAGTGAAACACTCAGGCATCCATAGATGTTGTCTGTCAGATTAGAGTAGTCACTAGACAGTTATTCGTGTGGGTGTAAAGATTTTTTGAAGAATTTTGAAAACAAAATCTTGAAAATCTCCCGGTTTTACATGATGCAACATCAAATTCCACGCAAGCAAGTGGTTAACAGTGTCAGGTTGGTGTAGTGGCTCTTTCCACACCTTTCCCATCAAGACCTGGGTTCGAATCCCCTAGGTCGGCAAGTGGACTTGGTTTTCAGTCCCTGATTCCATGGGTTTCCTTGGAATTTTTATCCGGGTTTTCCTCCCACCTCTAAAACTGAAGATTTATTCATTGTCCTCTACATGGTCGTGTCAGTGGCACTAAATACACTGCAGGATGAAGAAATAAAATGAATAATTTAAGAAATCAACAGAGTAATTTTTCTTAAAGAGCTTTTGTCTGCAACACCGGTGTACTTTTGCTGAAGCGTGCGACTTTGGGAATTGTCTCATGGAGCCTGGTACATCTGCATTTCCGTATCCAGTAATTGTGACTTGATTTTCAATTCAATTCATAGTGGTACTGTATTATTATGTGACACAGGTAACATCTGAGTAAAACGTGATTCATTGTATGAAACATTTCACAGGATAATACGGGCGATTGCCAATAGTGCGCCTCCAAGAGTTTGCAACGCATTGGCCAATCACAATACACGAAATCTGTCAACCCAATACGCATTTGGAAAAGGTCGACAGATTTCGCGCATTGTGATTGGCCAATGCGTTGTTAACTCCTGGAGGTGCACTATTGTGAACCAACCGTACCAAGTAGAGATGCATAAGACTAAAAAAATACAGTATGTCAGACATCCTGAAATGACATGAAACATGAAATCCCAAAATGAAAAAGCTGCTCACATCAAGAGTGCCTTCTGTGATCAATTTCACACACATTATGTTTTTGCAGCTACTACTCCCGATGTTCATTCCAGCATTCAGGACAGGAACTTATTGATGGTCTTAAAGTGTGCATGCAGGGTGAGTACATGTGTGTTAATTGGAATAAACTTGGCTGGGATCTACTCACGAACAGCATTAATTCCCGTAACATTTTGGTCGGTCAACTATTTTTGCTAAGTAAATATTTTTTTTTGCTTTTCAACCCTCTGTGCTTATCAGTTCCGCAAATTGGGTTCTAGGGTGCTTGTTAAATAAGCTAATAATTCAAAGATTTACCAAGCGCAGAAAATATTTGCTGAACAGAAACGGGTTACCAGCTTAAAATAAATTTGATGTGTTCCACTTCTGAGTGGTTTCCTGCTAGTGTTTGCTCAGCTCACAAATGGGCCCAGCTATTCCAAGAAGGCTGAAATTGTCAATGCGGAACGGACAGACCCAGATCTCTTGTGCTTGTGCAAAAGGCTAACTCTGTCATGAAAGGGAAAACAGTCGTTATGATATCATTGAAACTGTTGGCGCCTTTTGTTTACTGATAGTTTACTGTATTTGAAACTTCGTTAGGAAGGTGCTGTTGCTAGATAAAGTATTTGTATCGTTCCCAACTTAGTTTTGCAAGAAAGGACGAGGAGTTACACCAAAACTCCCAAGTTTGAGGCTGTATTCTCTTGGTTATTGCTGGAACGTAAGGAGAGAATGCACAATTATAAAATAAGAGTAATACCTGGACAAATTCTACGGAGAGTGCCAACTTTCAACTGACTGTGCACAAACCTGTAGCATCCTGGTGGGATGAAATTCGAGTGAGATTTGGCAGAAGACATTAGAGCTTGAACCTCTTCCAGCAGCGGCAGCGTATTTGAATTTTTCCCATGCTAGTGGTCTGATCTCCTGTTGGCGCTATTGTATTTCAGCTGCCATCAGAACGTACGTTGATATCAACAAGGGTCTGCCCGACAGGGTGATCATCTACCGTGACGGGGTGGGAGACGGGCAGCTGCCAGCCGTAGTGGAGCACGAACTACCTCAAATTTTGGACACCTTCAAGGCACTGGGGAAGAACTGGGAGTGAGTCCAAGTTTGTCATGGTTCATTAATTTAGAAACTGAAGGCATTTATAAACTTGCAGTTGGTCCTTATAACAAGAATATAGAGATCTCTGACTGAAATTTAGTGGACCCGTGTAAGCTGTAAAAGAAAAAAATTAGTCCAGGAGGGGAAATGTAAAGTGATGAGATGTCCGAACTGAACTTGAATTGGCTTCTGATTGATACTACCTTGTTATAGAATAAGTGCTTAAGTCTGTTTTCTTGGGTTTCTTGTTTTATTTCTTATCCTAAAATCGTGTTGTATGCATTGAAAACCTTATCTTCCTCCAGGGTAAATTTCAATGCTGTGTTTTCTTCAGTGATTGCATGGAGGCTGCAATAACATTGGTTTATCTTTTAACAGGCCGCGGTGCGCAGTGATTGTGGTCAAGAAGCGCATCAATAATCGCTTCTTCTGTACCAACAACGGCAAACTAAGCAACCCTCCACCAGGCACCATCATTGATTCGGTCGTCACCAAGCCAGAGTTGTGAGTCCATGGCACAAAGGGACTGATATCTAAGATACAGTACACTGCAATTGAAAGTTAACACTAAAGTGGAAAATCTTTTCACTTTTTTTTTCTCTTCCCAGGGAATTCCTTTTCATTTCACAAATTGTGAAAAAGTGTGCCAAAAGTGGGAAAAGATTTTCATACCTTTCCACACTAGTAGGAAAATATTTTCACACATTTTCCCCTGAGTGGGGAAAGATTTTTGCACTTTCTCCCACAAGTGGGAAAAGATTTTCACAGATTTTCCCACAAGTGAAAAAAGATTTTCACACTTTTTCTCACAAAAGGGAAAATATTTCACAGATTTTCTCTGGTAGTGAGGAAATAATTTTGCAAGCTTTCTTCATTCAGTAGTATTTGTGCATGTACATGTAGACAGACAGTGTAAGGAAGTTTTTGTTCTCCATGGTTTCAAATATGCGCATCTCTGAATATGGAAAGCGGAGGAAAATTAGTCTGAAACAAAAGTACTTTAATTTTCTGGAATGTCCAGAAGATTACTTGAGGCAGACAGCATTAAAATTTCAAGGCAGTCTGTTTCTCGGTGTTGAGCAAAATACAATGAGACAGGCGAAATCAAAGCTGGGTATGGTGGAGATCGCCGACCAGCACTGAACACTGAACATCTGAATTACAGCAGGTTCCTGTTATAGCACTCTCAACTGAATTGAGCGTTATAACCGTACAGCCTAGCGTACATGTATAACTGACTCGGATGGACGCCCAACATGTGCACATGTACAGATACATGTACGTATATCCTGATGTTGTCATGTATGTGAATTACGTTTACATATATTGGCAGATGTTTATACGGTAATTTCAAAGTAAATGCCTTGTATTAGGTTATCTCAACGTTTTTGTGACGCCGATCAAAAAAACCACCAGATCTCTTAAAAAAAAAAACCACCATGGGACCTTGTGCATGCCGCGCCACGTTGCGAAATGCGTACTGCATCCACACCCACCACGACATCCTGACTGCTAACTGCGTACCCATTCATGGACAGTCCAATCGCTGACTTTTTCCAATAACCATGTGACCACAGAAAGGGACATGTCATCAGAAAACCCAAGTGAAAACAGACCCGATATATCAAGCCGAACACAGTCGGCGAAAAGACGAGATTTGCTACATGAAGATACACGTACAATTTACTTTTATTTATTGGTAGAAACCTTTCGGTAACAAAACACTACATGTAGTATCTCAATGTTGATTATTTTGTGTGCCAAACTACACCACGAGAATAAATAAAAAGTGGGCAAATGACCCATTTCGCCACAGCACAGCAAGTTAAGTTTGTTGTAATACACACATTTCTTGTGCTTCGTGACTTCATAACTTGGGGACTCCTGTTCAATTACTCGAAATCCAGACAACTTTTTAAAATTTATTCTCCGACATTGACGAGAGTTTATTTATGATAATCCACGTGCTCGTGATCGCGCTGCATGGACCGGACAGCTCGGCCGATGTGTGTCTGCAAAATTACAAATCACTACTAGACTACTACACCAGCCCACTCCACGTGGTGAGTTGGCCTCGGCCGCCCACAGAGCAGCACAGCACAGCCTGCGCATTGGACTCGTCACTGCATAATATTGGTGCGCTTGGGGCCAGTGTGGAGCATTTCGCTGTACTATGCTTCTTGTTTTGGCAAGTTTCCGCATAATTTTCGGAACCTTTTGCACCGCTTTTGAAAATTTTCACACTGTTTTTTTTCTCAGTGTTTTTCGCAATGTTTCACGCCATGTTCGCAAAAATTTCGCACTGTTTTGGCACATCGTTTGCCCCTTTCGCATCTGATTCGCTGTGAATTCGCAGGGGGGAAAAGTTGTGGTCAAAAGGCGAATGGGATTCCTCTCACCTTTTTTTCCATTCCTTTTCACAGCGTTAACTTTCAAATGCAGTGTACTGTAGCTCATACAAGGAAGAATGCAAACTTGTATAGGCGGTGACTGAAGGTGTTCTCAAAGGTTTTTATGAGGTTTAGCAGGATTTGTGAGGGGTACCCCGGGGATAAAAACCTTGACTTACCTCTTGTAGAGTTTTTCTCTTTGGGCCCTAAAAGCTGAGTTATGGCACTTTTCCGTTCATTTTTTAGCTCATTCAGTATCCTTATCTCCTTGTCCACTCCTGTATGATTTTGGTGATCACTTCCTACACCTTAAGCTTGCAGAGTCGAGGCATGTCAAGTCTTTTGGGGAGGGGGTTGGAGGGGTTGATCTCTTGATCAGTTTGACTGGAACGGCCGTGGAAGAAAAATTCTCAACCAGTTACAAAAGTGACCTTAACCCTAACCTTCCCCAACCACACAGAATTAAACAGTAGGAGAGTGTTTAATTCTGTGGGGATAGGTCTGATAGGCCCATAACAGCTGGCTTTTGCATTGGGTTTGGCATACCTCAGAAAAACAA